CATGATCCTGGAGTCCCGGGATTGAGTCCCACATCGGGCTCCCTGCTCGGCAGGGAGTCTGCTTCTCCCTCTGACCCTCCTCCCTCTCATGCTCTGTCTCTCATTCTCTCTCTCTCGCAAATAAATAAAATCTTAAAAAAAAAAAAAAGAAAACATATGTTCAAAAAAACTTGGACATGAATCTTCATAGCAGCATTATTCACAATAGCCACAAAGTGGAAACAACCCAAATGTCCCTCACCAGATGATAAACAAAATGTGCGTGTGTGCAGTGTCATACTATTCAGCTGTAAGGAGGAATGAAGTACTGACCCACGTTGAGACACGGATGACCCTTGAAGACACTCTGCTAAGTGAAAGAAGCCAGACACAGAAGGCCACGTATTGTGTGATTCCACTTAACGTAAAGTGTCCAGAATAGCAAATCTAGAGAGAGTAGACCCGTGGTTGCCGAGGGCTGGGTGGGGGGAAACGCTGACCAGCGGTCACCCGGCTTTTGGGATGTAACTGCCTGAATTCTCTTCCAGCTATTTCTTTAAAATCCTGATCTTCTTACCCTATGTCTTTTTTTTTTTTTCCTTTCAAAAGCAAACTGTTGCTCCTCAGACTTCGATAAATTTCAGCCCAAACCTATTACCTTTAGCTAACTTAAAGGACATTTGTAAGCTACAGTAGTGTCCCCAGTAATTTAGAGCGTGTGGCTCATGGAAACCCATTCATTCAGCAAATACTTATTGATATTTCATTACAAATAATTGGCAAATCTTGAAACTTTTGGCATTATTATTTTTTAAAAAGGTATTTTAAAATTCTTTTTATTTCAGTTGATGAACCAACATTGATATATTACTATTTTTTAAAGATTTATTTATTTTAGAGAGAGAGCACAAGCGGGAGGGGCAGAGGGAGAGGGAGAGAGAATCTGAAGCAGACTCCCAGCTGAGTGCAGAGCCCGACTCGGGGCTTACTCTCACGACCCTGAGATCACGACCCGAGCTGAAACCAAGAGTTGGCCACTTAACCAACTGTGCCACCCAGGCACCCCAACATTGATATATTATTATTAACTAAAGTCTCTAGATTACATTAAGGCTCACTCTTTGTGTTGTATAGTTCTCCTGGCTTTAACAAGTGCATAATGACATGTATCCACCATTGCAGTATCCTACAGAATAGTTTTACTGCCCTGAAAATGCCCCATCTCTACCTATTCATCCCTGCCCCTCTTACCTCCCCCTGAACCCTTGGAAACCACTGATCGTTTTGCTGTCTCTATGTTTTTGCCTTTTCTAGAATGTCATATAGTTTTTTAATTAAGAAAGATTTTTTTTTATTATTGAAGTATAGTTGACATACATTCCACAATTTATTTAAATAATCTTCTATTGTGGAAAACATGGGTTGTTTTCTAATTTTTCTGTTTAAGAAAACCACTGTGATTGTTATTCTTGTACATACATCTGTGTACACTTTTATTTTCTCATAATAAATTTTCTGAAGTTTAATTTACCAGACCAAAGAATATGACCATTACTGAATTTTAATTTACTTTCAGGTGTACAACATAGTAATTCAACAATTCTGTACGTTACTCTGTGTTCACCATAGTAAGTGTAGTCACCATCTGTCACCATGCAAATCATACCCACAAAAAAAATAGCACCTCACAGCAGTCGGAATGGCTAGTATCAGAATGACAAGAAATAGCAAGTGTTGGTGCGGATGCGGAGAAAAGGGAACCCTCGTGCACTCTTTGGGGGAGTGTATTTGGTCCAGCTACTATGGAAAACAGTATGGAGGGTCCTTGAAAAACTGAAAATAGCAGTACCATATGATCCAGTAATTCCACTTCTGGGTATTTACCCAAGGAAAACAAAGACCCTGATTTGAAGATATATGCACCCCTACATTTATTGCAGCATTATTCACAATAGCAGCCCAAGTGTCCATTGATAGATGAATGAATAAAGGAGTGGTATACACATACAATGGAATATTACTCAGCCAAAAAAAAAAAAGAATGAAGTCTTGCCATTCACGGCAGCATGGATGGTCCTAAAGGGTACTGTGCTAAGTGGGATAAGTCAAACAGAGAAAGACAAATACCATATGATTTCGCTTATATATGAAATCTAAAAAACAAAACAAATAAACAGACTCATAAATACAGGGAAACAACTGGTGGTTGCCAGAGGGGCAGGTGGGGGAGGGGTGAAATTGGTGAAGGGGATTAAGAGATACAACCTTCCAGTTATAAAATCATTAAGTCACAGAGATATACAGCATAGGGAATATAGTCAATAATATTGTAACAACAAATATCTTTTTGCTGCAATTTAGTCAGGTTGCATGGTGTTCAGAAGTATAGTCTTGAGTTTATAGATTTTCATGGAAAATGCCTTTTAGGAATATTTAAAAGCTAAACAAATGTACGCTTCGTATAGAACTGGCCATATTGTCATTAGCGTGGTATTTTGATGTTGTTGTGGTCATTAAATCTTGAAAGGAGGAGAAATTCCGGTTCAGTCATAATAATTCTATTATAGCCAAAAAAGACTAGTTTTTAAAAAGCAGTAATTAATTGTGAATCCCTCAGGTTAGTAGCTGTCCTGATTTTGTTTATTTTATTTGTCTGTCTGTCTGCTTATGTCTAAAGCTAAACTTTTTTCTTTCTTTGCAGATGCCTATGAAACCGCCAAGATGCTGTGTGAACAGTATTACCTGGTAGCTCCAGAGCTGGAAGTCGAAGAATTCAATGGTAAAAGAAAAATCAATTTAACGTTACATACAAATAAGTTGACTAAAAATCTGATGATACCTGAGCTATATTTCAGTGAGAGCCTCAAATTATGCTGCTTTTTCATCTTTCATTTCCTTTTAAAGCCTTTCTATCTCTTTGGTCACCTAGGTATATTGTTGTAAGGAGTTTTTGTACAGGAGTATGTACAAAATTTGCACTCAGAGTTCTTGGAACAGAAGTCATCAAGGTAGAAAGTGCACAAGCATATGAATAGGCAGTTCTCAAAACAACAAATGCCAAGCAGCAGTAAACATATGAAAACGTGTTTAATTAATCAGAGAAGTACAAACAAAAATGGAGAAATGCCAGTTTTGACTTTGAAAATGGCCGTGATTATGATGTTGTCATGCTTTGAATTGGTGCCTAGAAAAATACTCTCTCGACAACACTTACACATTTCTGGTATAAGTTTAAATTAGTACAGCCTTTCTCAAAAAATGCTAGCAATGTCCTTTCTCTTGGCCCAGTAAATTAAAATTCAGTAATGGTCATATTCTTTGGTCTGGTAAATTAAACTTCAGAAAATTTATTATGAGAAAATAAAAGTGTACACAGATGTATGTACAAGAATAACAATCACAGTGGTTTTCTTAAACAGAAAAATTAGAAAACAACCCATGTTTTCCACAATAGAAGATTATTTAAATAAATTGTGGAACGTCCATAGGATAGAATACTAAGCAGCCATTCAAAATAATGCTTTAAAAGAATATTGAATGTATGGAAAAAGTTGAGTTTTTTTAAACACAGGCTATCAAAGTTTGTAGTGGCGCAAGTTCAGTGGAAAATATCTTGAAGCAGATTGATAGCACCAAAATACAAACAACAGCTTTCTGGATTACAGGGTTATAGCTGATTGTTATCTTAGTCATATGATTCTATATTTATTTGCATGTTACCTTTATTTATTTGTAAGTTATAAGAGAGACATGCTCGTTGGAAAAATACAAACAATACAGAATGTAGAGTAAGAAGTGAAAGTCCCGGGGCGCCTGGGTGGCTCAGTTGGTTAAGCGACTGCCTTCGGCTCAGGTCATGATCCTGGAGTCCCGGGATCGAGTCCCGCATCGGGCTCCCTGCTCAG